GCTTGTTTGTCTTTGTGTCTATGGTGTATAATGATGTGATTGTGATGCTGTAATTCTGAGTGTTTTATGTGCAGCAGAACAGGAACCTGCTGTAAAACAGCAATTATGCTGAGTCAGGCTTGATTTTTAATAATCTTTTCCTGTTAAATAAATAAATCAAATCAAGATAAAATAACATTGTAAAAAATTGTAAAAAACCAACAGTAGCATCCATATCAAAGTGTCAGGTGAACATTGTTGCACATAACCGTAGTGTTACCAAGTTAACCATGTGTGTTTAGAAGTTTAACTGCTGTTGGATAGAAACTGTTCTTGAGTCTGGTTATGGTCCTTACAGTCCTGAACCTTCTACCTGATGGTCCTAACAGTCCTGAACTTTCTACCCGATGGTCCTGACAGTCCTGAACCTTCTCCCCGATGGTCCTGACAGCCCTGAACCTTCTACCCGATAGTCTTGACAGTCTTGAACCTTCTACTCGATGGTCCTGACAGTCCTGAACCTTCTACCCGATGGTCCTGACAGTCCTGAACCTTCTACCCGATAGTCTTGACAGTCTTGAACCTTCTACCCGATGGTCCTGACAATCAAGAACCTTCTACCTGATGGTCCTAACAGTCCTGAACCTTCTACCTGATGGTCCTGACAGTCCTGATCCTTCTACCCGTTTGTCCTGACAGTCCTGAACCTTCTACCCGATGGTCCTGACAGTCCTGAACCTTCTCCCGATGGTCCTGATAGTCCTGAACCTTCTACCTGATGGTCTTGACAGTCCTCAACCTTATACCTGATGGCCCTGACATTCCTGAACCTTCTACCTGATGGTCCTGACAGTCCTGAACCTTCTCCCGATGGTCCTGATAGTCCTGAACCTTCTACCTGATGGTCTTGACAGTCCTCAACCTTATACCTGATGGCCCTGACATTCCTGAACCTTCTACCTGATGGTCCTGACAGTCCTGAACTTTCTACCTGATGGTCCTAACAGTCCTGAACCTTCTACCTGATGGTCCTAACAGTCCTGAACCTTCTACCTGATGGTAGCTGGACGAACAAACTGTTCCCGGGGTGTGATGAGTCTCTGTGTCATGCTCTCTGGAGGCAGCGGGTCTTGTGCAATTCCTCCAGAGAGGGCAGAGGGCAAACAACAATGTCCTGAGCCACCTTTATGGTTCTCTGGAGTGCTTTCTTCTGAGCCACTGTGCAGCTGGAGAACCACTCACAGGACACTTTCAATAAATAATAGAGAAATACTATTAAAAGTAAAAGTAGGAGTTTTACTCACTGTTGAGTTGTGGTCTTGAATTCTGAACTAGCCCTTTGACGGACTGAACGGAAGTCACCCATGGGCCACATTTGGCCTGCGGACCTTGAGTTTGGCACTTATGGGTTATAGAGCTTGAGTCTTTTTACCAGCTTTTGACAAACATCATTGCATCCATCTTTACCAAGCAAACCATTCCTTATTTATTATTATGTAACAATTTTTCTCAAACTTTTGCTTCTGTTTTCGTCCCTCAGGTACCTTGGCCCGGTTCTGGAGGGAACGAGAAGTTCTTCTTTGAAAACGAAAATGTGTGTACACGTGCATATGTTTTCCTCGATATTTGAATGTAAAAATCTGCAATGATGTGTCCTGAGCTGTTGCTCTGCCTTCAGGTGTGCATGATTTTTAATGCCGGGGAGCTGAGTTTGGTGGAGTACAGCAACAATGAGATTCTGGGCTCCGTCCGGACAGAGTTTATGAACCCTCACCTCATCAGGTCTGTTGTAAAACTGTTAGAGGTTGAATCTGATAACATACCCTGCAGGTGATGGTGAAAGTTTTTACACCGAGCCAAGAGGGTAGAATATATTGTGGATCCAGCTGCTTCCATTTATCATACAGAATAAACAATGTAATTCCAGTTCTGTCCATTAGGTGGCTGTGTTGAGTCTTGCATAAATCTGAAGTACTGACAGAAAGTGGTGCTCAGAAGGTTTGCTAATCAGCACAYATCCATGTTGATGTATTCAGAGCTGTCATGGGTGTCAGGTCTGACTGACGTGACCGTCGAGGCGAGCAGCTTTCACAGCATTTTTCCTGCTGCTCGCCTCTGCAGCACAACATCATGAGCAGGATTTACATGTTGCTCTTTGATGTTAAAACACATGCTGTTGGATTCAGTTATAACACACTGACTGCTCTGCTCTGCGTGTGTGTTTCTGTGTGTGCAGTGTGCGACTAAATGAGAGGAAGCAGAGAGGAGTTGAAGACAACAAGAAGCTCGCCTATCTGATCGATATAAAGACTATCGCCATCGGTGAGGAATGAGAAGTGTTGTGTGTTTGCAAATTAGATCATTAGTGAACAATACGGCAGTAACATAAAGTCAGTGCAGTTACTGTGAGGTTTTAAAGGAGTWAAACTGCTTGTTTTATCGTTTTGAATAAAAAGCCATTTTTAGCCAAACTCTGGCAGTCCAGGTGCAGCTCAGTTAATCTGACGCTTGTTTTCGCTCCTCAGTGGACTTGGCTGCAGGCTACAATCTGGGAACCATCAGCCACGACTCCAAGATTGACTGGCTGGAGCTGAACGAGACCGGACGCAAACTGCTGTTCCGGGACAAGAAGCTTCGGGTGAGAATGAAATCTCAGCACCCCGAGGGGCTTGAAAGAGGGGAATGAGGCAGAGGCCCGGGGGCAGGAAGACAGAGAGCCCAAATGACAGACAGGTGAGGTACAAAAAAAAATTAAATATCTGTCCTGGACTGGGGCTGTCATCGTCCTGTCCATCACCTGAAACATGCCTCGTGGCTCTGTGTGGAAGCAGCTCGGTCATCTGGGAATCAGGATGGAAAATCCATAAATTGGCCATTATGACTCTTAAGTTGTTCCAACTGAAGAGGACAATTTTATTATCCAACTTTTGCAAGGTTGAATTGCAAAAATTGGGTTGTGGAAGTAGAGAAAAAACAATAACCAATGGGAGAATATGATTGGTCAAGACACTGTAACCTGCACTAGAAGGTACTTTAAAGCAAGGGTTCTTAACCTTTTTGACCTCGGGGCCCAATTTATTGAACATAAAGTGGAACGAGGCCCAGTCAGACATTACCAATGTA